AAAATTTAACCCCTATAAAAAAATCAAAATGGAAAGATCAATGATGGTTATCTTCTCAGACCAGGTAAGAAGCCGACCACCTCTATTACTAGAGGGATTAGAATAAAACCATCTATCACACAATTTAAACTTCCTACAAACAGAAGAAACAAATTTGGCTTTTTTATTTCAGAAAGGAAAGCCAAGTCTGGGAGGTGGACTCTAAGAGCCTCTTTGAACTGGGAAATTGTATAGGCTCCTCCCAAACGTCTACAATTCCACACACATACATTCATTAGAGACTGTGAGACCAATTTGGGTTGGTCTCCACCACCTCATAAATGACTATATGGTTAGCTTTTTTCAGTTTTTTTGGAACATTTTCCAGGCCATCAAACTCTGTGGCATTTTCCAAAACATCTAAAATAATTCTGTTTGAGGTAACCTTGCTAAAAGAAGGAATGCTACCCTCTTGAACAATCACATCAACCTCCATAGGGTTAGGGGAAAGTTTTGTTTTCTTTAAAACAACTTTTCTCCTTTTCTGAACTAACCTATCACCCATGGAACCCGATTGAATGTTCACCTCAATGAGTTGAGAATCCCCCATTGGACTAGTCTCAATAGAGGAGACCCCTAGTTGCTTCCCAACAGAGGAATCAACACCAGGAATTTTCATGGTATGTTCAACATCAGGCACAACAATTTCTTTAGTAACACTCCTTACATCAATGGGTTCACTATCCTCCCTCCTAATATCAAGAGTAGGACTATTATCCTTACCCACAGGAAAATTGGAGTCTAAGTTGTTGTCTCTCGTATTATACTGCTCACTGTTAGAACCAGAACCATTAAATTTAGAACTCCTAGACTCATACAAAAAGCTACTATTAGCTCGCAACCATTCTCCATATTGGCCCACATTAAGCATATCATTATCTAAATCATCTTTTTTAGTTGGGCAACTTCTATCAGTATGCGTCACTATACCACAGTAAAATCAGAAGGATTGGAGATTCTCGTACCAGAAAGTTACCCATTTGTTCTCCTGTCCCAGCTTAACATTGGTCCCTCGGAGAAGATGATCTTTCAGACTGAATTCAACCAGAACTTTGATGATATTTCCATTTGCATTCCCTGCTCCCGGTACAAGAACACCTAATACTTTACCTATTAACCTTCAAATTTTGTGGCCAATTTTAGCTGTTACCCAATGCAGTGGCAGCTCATGGATTTGAACCCAGATTTTAACTTTTTCTTCCGCTGCTGTGAACTCTTGGTTGTTTGGCCTCCACTCTTTAAGAAGAAGATATTTCCCATCGAAAGTCCAGGTTTTCCCTCTTAAAATTTTCTTTTTATCCTCCATTGATTGAAAGATGAATTAGAAGAGGTTAACCCCTAAACTACGGATCGTGAAAGGAGCTTGCGTGATCCATATATTTCCAAGGGTCGTTCTAAGGCCACTGAAGTTCGCCCTTTTCTCCCCATAAATCCTGCCAATCAGACTGTGTTGACAATCTTTCAGCTCCACTGCCACATCCTCCTCGACAATTACAAGCCCTTGTTCTTCCTTTTCAGATAGCTTGAATTTTTTCAGTTTGTCCGCCAGATCTTCCTCCATGCTAAAATGTGAACGGAACCTTCAAAATCAAAGAGATTGACCACAAGAAAATGAAGGGATAGAGAGGATGATAAGCATAAAAGTCAAAACAGAGAAAACAAGAAGCACACAACGAAGATACCAACAAAATCAAAGACAACAAAGAAAAGGGGACAAATGAAAACCCTAAAAAATCTAATGCGAACAGCTAGAATCAGATCCTATGGAGATAGAAAACCCGAATCAGATCCTATGGAGACAGAAAACCCTATATTCTGAAGACAAACGTCCATAGAAAGGACCTAAGAAAGATGGGAAACGACATGAGAAGCGAGAAGGTAAAAACTCTAGACGATCCAAAGGGGAAATCCAATTTCTGGAACTGATACTCTATTAAGGATGGCAGCGGTTCGGGTTCGGATCGGATGGAACCTCAGGGCACCCAAAACCAAAACCCAAACTTAAAAACCAAAACCAAAACCAAAACTGTTTCGGGTGAAAATCCTTCACCAAAACCAAAACACGCGGATACCCAAAAACCAAACGGATACCCAAAAAACCAAAAATATTATAATAAAACACCAAAGACAACAACATAAAATATGATAACTTAGGAAGAGTACCAGACAACCAGTCACAAATTAGCAAGTACCAACGTACAGTACAAGCCATAAAGGTAGTAGAGTACATAGCTAAGCCAAGCCATGTGCCCAGCCCATGTCCAGACTCCAGAAACATAGAAATAGAAGTTCAAGGCCTTCAGGCACACACACATACACACATACTGTCCATAATTATTTAAAAAAAAAAAACACCACTAGACACTTGAGGCATTCATCTTCACTTGAGCCACACACTGTCCAAAAGTACTGCCTAAGCGCCGGCGCCGCCCCTTTGGAGGATCATTCATCAATTATGGTGGAAGCATCTTCATCCTGTAATATAAAAATAGAGAGTAGCTCAGCACTAGAATGTTTAATTTTAATGTAAATTCACAAGGAAACAACAGCACTACCATTTCTTCTTTTTCATCAAGACAAGTCATCAAAGCACCAACAAAAGTTGAATGAGACCCTGCATATATATAGTTTTCACAGTCACAAATTAGTTTTACAACTTGTATACAATAAAGCCACTACTTACAGAAATTGCACTTACCTAACATGTCGTTATGAGACCATGCTTGCATACACATAAGTGCTTCAATCATTGATGGTGCAAGCCTACTACGATGTGGACTGATTATTCTCCCACTAGTGCTAAAGGCCGACTCGGATGCCACCGTCGTCACAGGAATAGCAAGAACATCACGTGCAATTTTTCGTAATGTTGGGTATTTCAGCCCTGCAATTTGCCACCACTGAACAATATCCAAATCTTGTGTCCTAGGCAGCAATGGCTCTTCCAAGTACAAATCCAACTCTGTTCGGACATAAGTGGAGGTCACAGCGGGCTGTTTGGACATATAATCATCAAAAGTGTCCATCCAATCTTCATCATCCACCTGAGGAGGAGCTCTTGGCCTAGTTTGAGCACCATTTGTTGTGGCAACAACCTCAACAGTATATTGGTATTCCAAAACCAGATTGCACAACAACTCTTTCACCTTGTTGACAGATTCATCAGCTACACTAACTGACCCATGAATTTTGAGAAACAAAGCATTCAATAGCTGCAACTTATACCTAGGATCCAGGACAGCAGCAACAGCCATCAAACCATGCACATCTGACCAATACTTGTTGAATTTCTCTTTCATTTTTCTAGACATTTCTTCTATCTTAGGATTATCACTGCTTTGCCACCTCCTAATTGCCAAAAAAATGTTGCATATGTTGGGAAAGAAAAGGTTGGCTGTGACATATTTAGTGCCAGAGAGTAGCTCAGTTACATCATAAAACATCTTCAACCTATCACAAAGCTCTCTAGCAAACTTCCAATCTTCAGCAGATGGAACACATGGAGCACGAGAAGCAAGGCGCTCAAAGACATCTTGGTAAAGTAGTGCAGTGCTAAGCATAGTGTAAGTAGAGTTCCATCTAGTTTTACAATCAAGAGCAATTCTTTTTTCATATTCCCCTAGCATTTGCCTAGCCATTTTCTCAAACCTCTCATGTCTTTTAGGAGTGGCAGACCAATATGCAACACTATCACGCACTTTATCAATTCCCTTCTCCATAACACTCATTCCATCTTTCACAATCAAATTTAAAGTATGTGCAACACAACGCATATGCATTAATTTCCCCTTCAACATACAAGAACAGAGGGGTAACTTGCCTTCAATAGCAGCCTTATTCTTTGCAAGATCATCACCTTCAGTGCCAATCATAGTCTTCATGACATTATCATTGACACTACAGTTGTCAAGTGTTATAGTGGAAAGATTCCTCTTAATATGCCAATCCAAGAGAACTTCATGAAGGACCTCTGCTACAACCTCAGCTGTATGTGGTGCTGGAACATAAATGAACCTACAACAATAAAATATGATAAGTGATTGTGCTGGACAGATTGCTCTCGATAGACAATGCATAACATAAAAACACAAAATGATGAGATTTTATTATTACCTAATAAGAAAACTTTTTAGCTTCCAATCATCATCAAGAAAATGGGTTGTAACTGCCATGTAACCCTTCCTCTGGTGGTTTGCTGTCCACAAGTCCGTAGTAACAGCAACACGAGAACTCAATTTCTTGATATAGTTCACCATACATTGCTTTTGCACTTGATACATGTCAAAGATATCCTTTCTAATTGTGTTTCTAGACACCAACTTGAACGCTGGCTGCAATGCAGCACAAAACCTTCTAAATCCTTCATGGTCTACCATAGAAAGAGGATACTCATGGACAATAATCATCAAAGCAAGTTCTGTTTTAGCAACATCTGGATCAAACACATACTTCTCCAATGTGGCAGTGCCATCCTTTGAGTTTGCATTTAATTTAATAGTAGACTGGGTTAAACCTTTTCTATAAGCTCTAGAGTCACATATAGCACTGTGATTCTTCAAGTGAGTTGTACCATTTCTAGTCTCCCCAGCTAAATGTTTTTTACACCATTTGCAAATAGCTTTCCAAACCCCATTTACTTGAGTCAAATCATAGTCTTCCCATACTGCAGATCTTAGCTTCCTCTTACAGCCAACAGGGGCATCATCTTCTACCTGTATCACATCAATGTTACCTGATCCAGTCACAGGTGCTGCTGTACTCGATGGCGGTGTTGCCGAACCAGATGCAAGACGTGGACGAGTTGGAGGGCGAGAACCCACAGATTGAGATATAGTAACAGCTTGAGATCCACTAGTATCAGGAGGAGTCGACATTGTTGAAACCCTAACAAATGAGAAGACTGAATAAATGGAAAGAAAAAATAGCATAGCAGCTTTGAGAAGTTCAGATCGAGGGAACGGATGCATCAAGGTAACTCATACCTTAGCCTTAGGACTGTGGTCGCCGGCCGCCGGGGACGTGGGCGTCTGCAGCTCCCGCTCGTGCGTCGTTGCGTCGAGGGATGGAGGGAGGGAGTCCAGGGCGGGGCTGCCGGGCGGCTGCCTGCGGGGCGCCTCGCTCGCGGCTCGGCAATGCGCCGCCGTCCATCACCAGTCGAGGAGAGGGAGGGGTCAAGCACAGGAGTCGGGAGAGGAGAAGAGTTCGGTCGGCATTTTTTTTTAGTCGGGATATTGGTGGCGGCGCGGCTGTTGGTCACGCAGGCACGGGAGAGGATAAGAGGCAGAGGAAATTTCCACTTATATAGCTAGGGTTTTTGGTGGGCTTTTTGATGGGCCGTCTATTTTGGGCACCCAACGGAGCACCACGGGCGAAATATAGGATCCGCACCAAAACCGAAGACTTTCGGGTACCCGAAACCGCAAAACCGTGGGTGAAATTTGGAACCAAAACCGAAAACTGCAGAACCAAAAATCGCGGATATCCGAACCGAAACCGAACCGCTGCCATCCTTATACTCTATAGAGAGAAAAATCTCACAAGGAATACTTTTTTTATAAAATGTATTTTTCAGTATTAAGAATCTTATTCATTGCTTAAAATTCAACTCCAATGATATTCACTCAAGTAGCAACTAGTCAAATTAGTATGAAGAATCTTATTCTTTGCTTAAAAAGGGGTAGAATGGGTCAAAATGTATTACTTGTCAAAGCTGGGCGCTGCTATATAATTCACATGGTCGCTGATACCAGTATAGGTGCCTTGAATTGGCAGTATATTACTGAAAGTCAGTCATTTGTGAACAGCTGATATATTATTCTCGCATCATTACTCACAGTTTCTAATTAGCTAGTTTAATTTATTTTGTGAATTAACTTCATATTCCTCTTAATGTTTATTTGATTTTTTGTTACTATAAGAAAATAAAATTGTAAAATTTAAATATTTTGATAATTGCCCTTCACTTTTTAAGTTTGACAATATTTTCAGTCAAATTATTTATAGTACTTCAAAGTAATAATCCCGTTAAATGATTTGGCGTATGAATAGAAAAAGAAACATCAAATATGGAGAAATGGTACCGTGCTCACATTTCACACCTAAGAGCATCTTCAATTGTTTGTGCATTGTCCCATTCCATTGCCACATGGTCTCAAAAGTCCAATATGGCATGTAAAATTTCTAGAAGTCTTTCTACATTTATCTATATTATGTTATTTATTTTATATATTTTTCTCTACTAACTAATTATTATCTTACACATGTCAATTTATTCTACAATTGACATTTACCATTGGATATAAACTATTTTTATTTCTTTTCTCCATAACATACATATAGAAATAGACATTGTGTCATTGGAGATGCTCTAACAATTCCTAAACCAAGAAAGTGGGCATATCTTTCAAAAAGAAAAGAAAAACAGAGGTTCCTTAGTTTAGCTTATATTTATTTGGAATTTTTTAAATACAATACACGAAAGATGGGTAAACTATCAAATCGAGACTTGAAATATTTTTTTTCACAATTCGGGACTTAAATGTTATAAAACTATCATATTAGGTCATAGAATTAACAAAACCCATAACACCATTAAATTGAGAGTTTAAAAAAGAAAAAGAAAAAGAAAAGATTGGTGCTTACTCACATAAAATAATAAGTAGCATTCGCATAATATTTCCAAAAAAAAAATAAATGAAATAGGCTATAGCAAGAAAACCAAGCAACAGCTTCATACGTTCCTTAATTTTCTCCAACAATCTCGTATTTTCCTTAATTTTCTTCATTTTTTTTTTACTTTGTAACAGATTTGGTGTTTTAAAACTTCAAATTAACTCTCAATTTAATGGTGTTATGGGTTTTATTAATTCTAGGACTTAATTTGATAGTTTATAATATTTAGGTCCCAAATTAAAAAAAAAAATTCTTTTAGGCTCCGATTTAATAGTTTACCTATTTTTCTATTGAAAAAACTCCTTATTTATATTATTTTTCATGGTTAGATTTATATAGTTAGGGAAAGAAGTCTGGTTCATAGATGTGAACACTGTTAGACGGTGACTTTAGGTGTGATTTAAGCAAGATTTTATAACAAATTTATGCTCATTTTATTTCTTTATTCAATATGAGACAACTTATATGCAAGATTTTAGTTTTATTTATTTATTCATTTATTTATTTTTATTTTTATTTTTATTTTCTTAACTTTTGGAAGAGGATAGACAATATAGTATTTAAGTTCTTATATTAGCTAGGGGGTTGAACTTTGAATTCTGATATAGCACCCGGAATAGCTTGGTGAACCGATCAGAGTGGTCAGTTTAGTTGTGGTCGGTTAAGAAGAGCTCAGACTGTTTACAAGGTATATTCATGTCAGGGAGTTCCCCTAGGCAGCTCAGGGAGCAAGCAGGTCAAGTTTGGGCAACTCGGATATCGGAGAACCTAGGGAGCTTGGATACTCGATGAGACCTCATGGCCCGATCGTGAGATGGAGGTCGTGGTTGCGACCTTGGCACAACCAATAGTAGGAAGGTACAGAGGTCGTACTTATGATATGGTAACCAAAGAGCCGTGTGTTATGAGTGGAGAGAATCTTTCATGGATAGAAAGTGCGTCTTGTTAAGGAGTGTGTAGATTCTAGAGACGTGGTGAGTTAGGAAAGTAGATACGGGAGGATCTCTTTTATAACTAGTACTCTCTTGCAGGCTAAGCTACCCTTAGTACTTAAGGGTAACCACGTTCCTTTATCTTGCACATTACATACACGCGTTATGCCTAATAACCGATATACTCCCTCAAGCACGTAGTAACTTGAGCGTTAGAGTGTTTACGCAGAGACCCCTCCCGGCGCTTTGCAGGTCACCTGAGCTCTGAGATGGTAGGAGTACGTGGAGATTGTGTGTTCAACCCGGTTCAAAACAACTTTCATATTGAATGTGTGCCGTTTGTGGTAAAAACTCTAGTATTTTAGTGGGTATAAAAGGCTAATCGATTTTTTGTCACAAACTTATACGAAGGAACTTTGAAGATCATAGTAGGCGAGAATTGCAAGAAGAATTTAACCAAAGAGCTGGACGCGGCATGGACGTTGCGAGAACCTGGGACGAACCCTCTATTAAGCAGGTCGGCGTCAACCGACGCATTGGTTACGCAACAGGAGACATTGCTGGCACCCCGCACAGCATTAACGCCGGTGGTGAACACATCAGAGAGATCTCTAGCGAGGCAGAAGCCGTTCTTCAAGAGGTACAAGAGCTAGTAGTGGTTTAAGGTGCTGGAGAGCAGTAACAAAAGGATTCGGAGGTCACTGACCTCCGAAGTAGATAGAAGGTCAGATGGTGAATCTTAGGGCACATGAGGTGCTTAGGGGAGACCAAGTTGTTCAACTTACCAGAGGACAGTTTAACTGGGATATGGCAAAAGTTGTAGCTCGGGCACCAAACCAGTCAGATCTAGCTGCGCAACAACCACAACCTCAGAGGAGGCAGGAGAAAGCCGAAGCGAGGTTGACATCATCACCTTCGCACATATCACGAGGAGCTTGGGACCCTAAGTTTGTGTAGTTGGCAGCCGAAGTACAGGAATTGCAATCTCTGGTTAAGGGTAGAGTAACACTAGGGATCCATAGAAACTCGTTTCTCGATGAGGTTTTAGAGGCAGACTTGCCTAACAACTTCCGCAAGTTGAACTTATCTTATGACGGTTCAACGCATCTGACCAGACACTTGAGGTCGTTCGAGAATGTAGCAGTTCTTCACAAATACAATGATGATGTTTGTTGTAGGGCCTTCCTCACCACGCTAAAGGGGTTGGCGCAAGACTACTTCCATCAGTTACCCGTCGGATCAATACACCTTTGAGAGGCTCAGATCCCAGTTTATTAACCAGTTCTCGAGCGCAAGAAAGCATGAGAAACCTACCTAGCATTGATCAAAATGTGACAAAGAGAAGGAAAAACACTCCGCTAGTATATAGCTCGTGAAACTAAGGAATGTGTGGAGGTCCCCTCAGCTTCCAAGGAGATCATGGTAGAGGGTCTTATCAGAGGCCTTCGACCAGGACCATGCAGAAATTCATTGGCGAAGATGCCGAAGAGGACATTCGATGAGCTGCTGGCTAGGTACAACAATTACTTTAACATAAAATAACCACTAGAAGATGACTTCATTGAAGCTGACAAGACTAAGGTCAAATGGGTCGAGGACAAGCCTCGCCTAAGAGAGAAGAGGTCTCCGAACAAGGAGGAGAGGTCAGAATATCGTGCCAAGTCAGGGTATATGTACGAGAAATACGTGCCCTTAGTCGTATTACAGAAAGAGGTCTTCGAGAAGCGGGACGACACGAGAATCCTTTCCCAACCTAATCTCATTCAGAGAAGGAAAGGGTACGTACGCTCATGAGATGGTACAGATTGTCGATAACATAGGGACTATGTTCATTCGACCAACAATTGTTTAGAGCTAAAAGATGAAAATGAGTAACTCATTCGAGCTGGTCGTCACCTCAAGGAGTTTGTACTAATGGACAAAGAAAATATGGATTACCAGTAGGTCGTGGAAAAATAAATACGGTTAGAGGAAAAGATGAGAGGCATCCAAGAGGAGTCTAATCCAGCTGATTGCCTGAGGTCTACTAATGGGGAGTCTCACAATAAAAGGAAAAAAGACGTATCGCGACAAGGAAGTGGTAAAGGAGGCTGCAGAAATTCAAGTTCAACAGCCTGAGGTCACGCTGAAGTTTTGGTTGGAGGATGTGCAACACATCTCTACCCCTCCAAATCACCATTGGTTATCATGGCGGAGGTCGCAAGCTATGACGTGCACACAGTGTTGATCGACACAAACAACTCAGTTTCCATCATTTTCTTCCAATGTTTAAGGCATATGGACCTAGATGTAAAGATTGAGCTAGTTCATAATACTCTTTATGGGTTTAATGGCAACGAGATCACGCCAAAGGGGCGAGGTGCGTCTACCATTGGCATTAGAAAGACCACCCCTCAGGAAACTTAAGTGTCAGATTCCTGGTGGTAGGTGCAAGCTCGACATACAACATTATTCTGGGGAGACCCTTTCTCAATTCGTTCAAGGCCATAGTCTCGATCTATTCTGTGAAGATAAAACTCCTGGTTGGGGACCAGGTTGGTGAGGCGGTAGGAGACCAGCTACATGTTAGGTCATGTTACCTAGTCATGTTATATAATTCAGAAGCCTAAGGAAAAAAAAAGAGCTTGAGAGCAAGATCATTTCGAGAGCTCTAACAGAGATAATAGACTGAAAAGCTTGAGATCTCATCACAAGACGAGCTCATGGAGATTGAGCTCATAGAAGGAGGCATTGGTAAGGTGACTAGTGTAGGCCTCTGTCTCTCGAAGGACATTCAGATTGCACTAGTTTTTTTGCTAAGAGAGTTCACAAACATTTTCGTATTCTTTGGCAGAGGACCTGATTGGCATAAAGCCCAAAGTCCCTAAATGTAGGTTGAACATTGGCCGAAAGTTAAATTGGTAAAGAAGAAGAAGAGACACTTTGGGGCAAAGCTCGACCTAGTAATCGAGGCTGAGGTCGACAAGCTTTTGAAGGCAGGTCACATTTGACCTATTCAGTTCTTAAAGTGGCTTTCAAACTCAGTATGGTAGAGAAGGGCGAGGGCAAGTGGTAGATGTTTCTCAATTTCAAAGATCTTAACAAGGTCTGCCTGAAAGACCAATACCCGCTACTCTGGATTGACCCGCTCGTGGAATCTATGACGGGGTGCGAGCTGCTCAGTATGATGGATGCCTCTCAGGATACCATCAGATACCCTTGGTGGTCGACGACCATAATAAAGTAAGCTTTGTAATATCCAACGTCATGTATTGCTACGTTGTGATGCTCTTTAGGCTTAAGAATGCTGGTGCGACTTACTAGTGGCTAGTGGACAAGATGTTTTAAGATCAAATCGGAATTAACATGGAAGTCTACATGGACGATATGCTCTTAAAGAGTAGAAGAATTCGGAATCATGTTAATGACCTAAAGGACACATTTGAAACACTGCGACATTATGGCATGAAGCTTAATCCAGCGAAGTGCAAGTCTGAAGTCAGGTTGGGGAGATTTCTAAGTTACCTTGTCATAGAGAAGGGGATCAAGGTCAACCCACATAAAGTAAAGGCGGTGCTCCTGATGCAAGAGCAACTTGAAGGAGGTTCAGGTCTTCAAAGGTCAATTGGTTGGGCTGAGAAAGTTTATTTCCCAGTCTGGAGAGAAGAATTTCAAATTCTTTCGGGCTTTGAGGAAGGGATCTTATTTCGAGTGGAACCCTAAGTGAAACACGCATTTGAATGGCTTACAGAGTTCTTGGCCATGTTGCCACTAATCATGAAGACAGAGTCAAGAGACGATCTTGTCCAATAGCTCTCGATAGGTAAGGTAGCTATCTACACGGTGCTATTAAAAGAGGATGGAAGACAACAAAGGCCTATATACTATACGAGCTGAGTCTTGCATGGCACTAGGCTAAGGTATTCGAAGGTCGAGAAGGCTACATTGGCGCATATATCGATGACCCGCAAGTTGCAAACTTATTTCTTGGTGCATAAGGCCGTGGTCAATACCAATTATGCGTTCAAGGATATCTTAGGCCGAGCTTCAGCCTCAGGAATGACAGTGAAATGGACTATCGGTCTTGGAGAATACAACATTTATTTTGAGGCTCAAAGAGCTATCAAAGCTTAGGATTTGGTGGAGTTTATACATGAGTGAATAGCAGAAAATGAGGTCGGTAAGTGGCAGGTCTACGTTGATGGTTCCTCGGTAGTCGGAAGAGTAGGCTTGGGCATTCTAGTTGTCATGCCTGAGCAGGACCATTCGTTGCTTCATAGCCTCGAACAATGAGGTGGAATAAGAAGCACTAATAAAGGGAATTTAACTCATGGAAAGAAAAGAAGCTCGACAGGTAATTATTCACTTAGATTTCCATCTCATGGTCAAGAAGGTAAAAGGTGAGTATGAGGCCAAGAAGGAGCGAATGTAGAAGTTCTTGAGTGAGGGTCCAGTCATTGCAAAAAGGGTTCACGACCTAGGAGCTAATGTGGATTCTAAGTGGAGAAAATGGTAGAGCTAACCTAATCTCAAAGGTTGCAGCATCCTTGGTCCTGTGCAAATCCAGGTCAGTTACTCTGTTGGAAATGATCTCGAGCACACTAGATCTGGTTATGGAGGTTGAGAAGGAGGGCTGAAGGTCACCATCTGTAAGGTCTCTGCAGAACCTAGTGTTAGGCAAGGACATCCGTGAGGATCCAGTGAAAAGGAGAGCCATGAAGTTTTTACTCCAAGACGGAGTATTATACAAACGGTCTTACGTCGGGCCACATCTGAATTGCGTGTCTGACCAGGAATGGGATTAAATCCTCGAGAAGGTTCACGGAGGATAATGTGGTGACCACGTGAAGGCCAGGGAATTTGTGAGAAGGCCTTACAAGCTGGGTATTTTTTTTACCCAAGATGCGGGCCATGGCACAAGAGCTTGTCCTGAAATGCTTGAAGTGTCAGCAGCACGGTCCCGTTGTTCATTGACATGTGGAGGACATGATCCCCATGACCTTGCCATTGCCTTTTGCGCAGTGGAGGATAGACATAGTAGGCCCTCTAACCCAAGCAACCGGCCAAAGAAAATTCTTACTTGTCACGGTGGATTGTTTCACAAAGTTGATTGAGGTTGAACCTTTGGCAAGGATCACGGAAGTGAAGGTCATGAAGTTTTTATTCACAAATACCCATTGTAGGTGTGCTATCCCAAGGGTGACCCTATCCGATAATGGAGCTCATTTTAAGGGTCGGAAGGTAGCGACCTACTGTGAGGCCATTTCAATTAAGTAGCATTTTGCGTCGGTGGCTCATCCGTTGGCTAACGGACATGCGAGGTCATGAACAGGTAGATACTGTATGGGTCCAAAAGTTAGTTGGAGAAACCTTCGGGGCATGGTCAACGAACTTGGCTCAGTTCTGAAGGCTTATAGAACTACTCCAAGAGCTTCGAAAAGAGAAACACCTTTTAGTATGGTATACGGAACAGAGGCAGTAATCCCAGTTGTAGTTGGCTTCAGCTCAAAGAGGATGTCCACATACCGAGAATCGGAGAACGTCAAGCTACAAAAAGAGGCCTTTGACCTAGTGGATGAACTCCATGATCAGGCCAGGATCAAGCCTGAGATGTACAAATAGAGAATGAGGTTCGCTCATGACAAGAAGGTTCAAGCTCGCAGGTTCTAGGTGGGCGACATGGTATGGTGACAGACAGATTCACTCAAGCATGCCGACAAGCTTGAACTGAACTGCGAAGGACCTTATGTGGTTGAAAGAGTTTTTGCGAGGGACCTACAAGCTGAGGGATTCACAAGGAAAGCTCCTACCGAGACCATGGAACATGGCACATCTGAACAAGTATTACACTTAATTTTATTTAGCTCATTTTCTACTTATTCACTTAATGTCATAAGTTTATTCAGACAAGTTGTTCTCATCAATAAAGTTCAGTTTATTTCTGCTCAATTTGTTATATGTTCTACGATTTAATAGAAATGTCATGGGACAGAACCTCAAGCAAACAAGCCCGGGGGCTTAGGGACATGGTAAAGTATGTCAAGGGGAAGAACGACGAGAAAACGAGCTCAATGGTCTAGGGATATGGTAAAGTATGTCAAGGGGAAGAACCCCGAGTAATCGAGCTCAGGGGCCCAGGGACATGGTAAAGTATGTCAAGGGGTAGAACCTCGAGTACACGTGTTCATGGGTCCAAAGATATGGTAAAGTATGTCAAAGGACATAACCCCGAGTAAACTAGCTTCGGGGCTCAGAGACATGGTAAAATATGTCAAGGGGCAGAACCTTGACCACACGAGCTCACAGGCACAAGGACATGGTAAAGTATGCCAAGGGGCAGAACCCCGATCTCATGAGCTCGGGTGCCTAGAGACATGGTAAAGTATGTCAAGGGGAAAAATCTTGAGCACATGTGCTCAAAAGCCCAAGGACATGGTAAAGTACGTCAAGGGGTAGAACCCTAAGATGACAAGCTCAGGGACTAGAGACATTACAAATTCAGTCAAAATAAAGTACCTCGAGTGGTTAGCGGAGGGCCTAAAAATGCTAGACTTAAATCAAGGGGTAGAACCTCAATTCAACGAGCTTAAGGGCCTGAGTATGTTGCATATATTAGCATGAGATGGTAGAACCTCAAGTGGTTAACTCGAAGTCCAAGAGAACATGAACCTCGAAGATTGACTAAGTTTGTTTGCTTTTACATTTTTAAAGAGAAAATAGCTCGGGTACCTTAACAAAGTTAAAGTTTATGCTTTATTTTAAGAGGTTAGTGATCACATTATGGTAGCTCGAATACCAAGGTAAATAAACAAACAAGCCCATCAAAGTGTATAAAGAGAAAAACATCCATAAGGAAAAAAAAAGGCAAGAAAAATACTTATAATCAAAAGGTTCACGACTTGTTACAAACATTCAACAAAAAGTAATGAAGACCTAAGAGAGATATGGAGTGGAGCCAGAACCCTCGACCTCTTTAAGAGTATCCCCAACTAGGCCCGCCTTCTTCTAGGCCGCCGCCACGACCGACACCCATCACGGATGTTCCACGGGGGCATGAGGCACGAGGTTCCCTTCCAACCCTAGGGTTTAGATAACTTCTTTACGAGTGTAGCACCGTTCCATTCGCCGGTGTACCCCCTGGCCTCGGTCTGAGCCCGAGTGCGATCGGTGGCAATAGTGAAGTACTGCTTGCAGGCCGGGTAGATCTAGGTTAAGAACTCTTTGGAGTGCTTTAAGTGTTTCATTATCTCGAAATGATATTTCTCGAGGAACTAACCACCCGAGAAGAAGGGGATAAAAGAGCCTAACCCTTCTCACGAGCTCGTTGCACCTGCTCGACCATTGAGACCTTCAATTTGACCCAACTAGGTGGTAAGGTCAAAGAGATCGGCGTTTTTATTCCATAACTCGTCATCCTTGGCCGCCAATTAGGCGGGCATTGTATCTATCTTGTTCTTACGCAGATCGTACAACTCTTGAAGACTAGTGTTAGCAGTATGGCTGTTCTAGAGCTCCTCATTCAACTGAGTAGCCTCATCTGATTCACCGTCCAAACCCTCCAAAAATAAAGAAGCTAGGGCGAAAGGGACAAGACAAACAAAAGACATGTTTAATGAATTTCTAAGACTCAAGATGTACAATTATTAAATAAGAGAAGATACTACACATGGACAAGGTGGAAGGTCACATAAGCATTTTGGTGCTCCATTGTCTGCTAGCGGGTGGTTTCTCCCATGGGGAAGATGGGCAAGACATAGGAGGCCTACACACCCACGTGATTGGTTTCGCGAACCGAACAGGATGATCGGCGGTAAAAGGGGAGCAAACGGTCCCCTTTGTTTTTTGGACTGGTTAGCTATCAAGGTCGTTTTGGGTCTGCAGGCCCTTGCATGGAAAAGTTGAGCTCGCTGACCATCGCAGCGGCAACCTCAGCAGCCTTAGTGGCATATAGCTGATCTGTAGTGGACTTTACCTCCTTGAACTTGGGGGTAGAAGCAACGGTAACGGTGCTAAAAAAGTCCTCCGCATAAATAAGAAATAGCTTGACATCGAGGTCAGTGACAAAAGTACTGTGACAAATTATACCTACCAACGTCAGTAATGGGCTCGGCCAAACACGAAGATAGCCAGAAGTGAGAAAGGAGCTTCTAGTCGTTGATGATATTCACAATTTACAGAGGCTGTGTATTCCACTAGGCAATGAGGTCGTTATAATGGGCACAAGGTTTGGGGTATTTTACCTGGCTTAGGAGCTCGTAGAGCCACTCAGGAGAGAAATCAAAGGTTTCTGGTGAAGGTCGAATGAAGTAATACTTGGTTTTCCACTAGGTGATGTTAGAGGGGTAGCGCTTGAAGAATCTAGCGTTGTCATGACCAGAAAGGTAGTAAGAAACTTTTTGGGGCTTCATCCAGAAGCAGGAAAAGCACAAGTCAGGGTCCACCCTTCCAAGCTGAGCTCAACTTTGAATGGTGAACCCAACCTAGGTGCGGATGGAATTGGGAGAAAACTGGTTTAAAGAAAAGCAGTAGAGATGTCAAAGCTCTATTAGGTCTTCTCTAAGAGGTAATTTGTGCCTGGACGAGGCTTGTTCTAGAAAAAAAGGAATAGTAGCCCGCGGGGGGCTAGTCAAAGGATTCCTCGACCTTGGGGACTTTGAAATCCCAGTTGCGAGGGAGCTCAATTTCTTGGAGAATATAGGAAATATTATCGTTTGAGTAAGAGGTGATGGAGTTTGGTTAGACCATCGTCACCAACGGAGAGGTGAGTTCAACCTATTTTCCCTTTACCACAATTACTTGGTGTTTTTGGCCGTTAGAAAGGGGTAAAGCTAGAGGGATGTCTAGTAGTTGTGAAGACGGGCTATAAGGTGAAAGATGGTCGAAATTCAACATGGTCATCAAAGATTTATAAAAGGTGACTATCGCTGGAGGATAGAAAAAGCAGAAAAAAGAGGGGGTAAATAGAACAGAGAAAAAATAAAGCAAAAGATGATCTAAAATAACGTATCCATGTAATATGCCATTGGACGATAATTGGAGGTTGGATGAAGAATTACGAGAAAGACACTATGAATGGCTAGAGTATAGTTAGGTTTATCGAAGGTTTTTTATTGCAGAAAAAAGTTCTGGAATTGATCGAAATGTAAAAGGTGGATAGATCAGATCTGCGCAGCTTTTATAGTGGAAAGAGAAAGCACAAAAGTCGAGGTTGAATGTCAGTCGTTGGATTAAAAGCCATCTGTGTGGTTTGGATTAACCAGGGAAGATGGATTTGTTGAATTCCAAAAGGCGTCAGATCGTGGGCGTTGACTTTTAAAAGAGATCCACAGTGAAGATCGAAAAGAGCTTTATGGTTTTTGAAGAGACGTTTCCTGACAGGCACAATTATCGGGGAAGCATGAATTACTACACTACAACCTGGTACGCCATCTATCCGCAATAAGACATTCTTGCACAAGTCTTGGCATCTCGTCCAAAAATGGAAGGACTAGATGATATAGCACTATAATATCCCGGTGAACTAGTTAGAGTGGTTAGCTCAGTCGTGGTCGGTTCGGGAGAGCTCAGACCATTTCCAAGGTATATTTTTCTGTCAGGGAGTTCACCTAGGTAGCTCATGGAATAAGCATGTCTAGTTTGGGCAGCTCGAAAGTCAAAAAACCAAGAGAGCTCGGATACTCGATGAGACCTCATGGCCCGTAGGCCGTGAGGTAGAGGTCATGGTTGCGACCTAGGTACCACCGACAGAAAGGTACAGAGGTCATAGTTACGACCTGGGAACAAAAGAGTTGTGTGTCATTAAGGGAGAAAAATTACGTGGGAATGAAAGAGTTGTGTGTCATTAAGGAAGAGAATCCTTCATGGATGCAAAATTACATGTTGCTTAGGAGTCTGTTGATCCTAGGGACGTGGTGAGTTAAGAAAGTAGATACGCGGGGATCTTTTCTCTAACAGGACTCTCTTGGAGGGTAAGCTACCCTAGGTATTTAGGGGTAACTGGGTTCCTTTATGTTACACATTGCACACACGTGTTATTCAAACATATAACCAATTTACTCCCTCAAGCATGTTCTAACTTGTGCATCAAAGTATTTACGTAGGGACTCCTCCCAACGCTTTGCAGGTCACCGAAGCTCCGAGCTAGTAGGAGTACATTGAGATTACGTATTCAACCCGGTTCAACATACGAGATATAGCAAATTGACTCAAAACATATTTGGTATACAATTACAAAAATTGTACATGTAATTGCTGAGGTAAAGAATGAGGGAGGGTTAGGATTTAAAGATTTTCAGGCCTTCAATGAGGCTCTGATTGTCAAGAAAATGTAGAGGGTAATGACTGACCCTAATACTTTGATGAGTAGGGTTATCCATGGTAGGTATTTTCACAAGCAAAAACTGATGGAAGTTTTAAAAAAAAGTAGTGATTCATGGCTTTAGAAATGTTGGTTTAGATGCTAGGGTTTCTCTAAGGTTAGGGGTTAGATTTCATGTAGGGGATGGCAATGTTATTGACATATGGAATTCCCTTTGGATTCCAAAGTCACTAACTTTCATACCTGTATGCAATTTTTGCAGAGTATAAACAACATTTGTCAAATGTGGCAGATCTCATTATTCCTGGGAGAAAGCAATGGGACAAATATTTAATTTGTCAAAGTTTTCATCCTGTTGAGGCTACCAACATACTTCACATTCCTATTAGTCAATGTGGAGTCAAAGATAAGTTAGTGTGGCATGGCACCAAAAATGGCAAGTTCAGTGTTAAGGAAGCATACCAGGAAGTTCTGAGGAAGAATGTAGTCAACCACATGTAGGCTGAATCTAGCAAAGGTGGGAGACAACAACAAGCAATGTGGGGTAAGACTTGGAAGTTACTTATCAAAGGTAAGGTTAAGAACTTTCTCTAGAGATGTTGGCACAGTTGTTTGAGCACAAAACTCAACTTGAAAAGCAGGGGAATGATGCATGATACAATATGCAATTGGTGTGGGAGTGATGAAGAATATTTGGGGCATATACTGTTTAGATGTGAGAGGGCTTAAAGAAGCTGGAGGTTAGCTAGCGTGTATTGGGATAATCTGGTGGATGATCAATTGACTTTTATAACTTGGTGGGAGGAAGTCTGTAAAGTTAAAGGGAGATTAAGTGGTACAGATAGAATATCATTGTCTTCCTATATTATGTGGTGGCTATGGAAGACAATAAATGATTGAGTTTTTAGACAAGAAAGAATTTTAGAAGTTCAGCTAGTTGACAAGGGTAAAATGGAATGTATTAAGTTTGAAAGTGTGCAAAGGGTAGGCAATAAGTCTAGTCAAAGGAGTTTAAAAGGGGCAGATACTTTAAGCTCTGGGGCAGTACATGGAGTAGGGGTTCCAAGTGAGGAACTCAACTAGGGTATACCGAGGAGCTGGGGAAAAGGATAGAGGTATAGCCTTTGTGGGGGATATTGAGGTGGCAAGATGGACTGATGAGAAGGATGCAGGAAAAAGATCAGTAGATGAACAATTGGAGTAAATCAGGGATTGGCTACTGAGGGGAACCACATTAGGCTGGACTCGAGTGCAGATTGTTGTGCAGACAAAGCTGATGGCCAAGCAACTTAATAACCTTTCCTTGTTTTCTTCAGTTTTTTCAGTTGTAATTGAAGATATTTTCTTGTTGCTTAAATCTTTAGCGTATGGTATTTTATTTTTAGATTATCTTGATTTTGTTTTGGTATGTAGGGAGTGGCCATGTTTGGTCCTGTAGGAAGCTCATGTGGAGTTTCCCTTCCCCTTGTCAAATCCTTAGCAAGTTTCCAGATTTAGGAGGAGATTGTAACCCGTTAGTTATACGTTCGTGTACATTTTGAGTTTATGATATGCAATTTATTGTTGAAAAAAGAAGATACAATTACAAAAATCACAAGTAAGTTGTGGAAAACTGTAATAAAAGAAATATCTTTGTAAATTCATAGCCATTCTACCCCTATGATTTGTTATATAAAAAATTAGTAAATTTATTTTCAATACCGAATCCAATCCAACGCAGTAATAAATAATCTATAGTCCCAGTCTCCATAGAATCCTTCAGAAATCATGAAGCTTAAAAGGACAAATTGGTCAACGCAAAATCGTATTTACAGGTAATTTAGTTGGACGGACTTGCACGGAATAGTACATCTGTTCCTTACGGTAGTATCTTCCTTTGCTGTCCCACGCATTAATAATAAAACACAATTCATATTTTTTTTTTCTTATAATATAACTATAATCTCTTAATTAAAAATAAAAATTGACACGATAAAGGAAAACCTCAGTTTTAGGCTAGCCCCGCGCTTTTCTCTCTCCTCCTCTCTCCGAAGAAATCATCTCTCTTTCATTCTTCTTCTCCACAAATTTTCCTTTTTACTTTAGATATATATAATTAATGTCTGCCAGAATTTTTCTTTCTTGATTGCCCTTTGAACTTCACGAAAAGGTAAGTATGCGGTCAATTTTTCTGGGTTTAAAGTCTACGGCAATAGATTGGGGTCGTTTTCTTTATTGCAATTCCAATTATTTATTTGGTATTATTTAGCTAGAGTGGAATTTTGATGTGAAATCATTTTTGTTTTGGAATTTTTTTGAAAGTCAAATCTTTATTTTTGGTCCATTCAGTATTGGTGTTTGTTACGATGTCTGTTCTTTTTCTAGGTTTGCTATGTTTTCCAGAGTAGGCCTTGCAATAGACATTTGGTTTTTAAGTGAAATTTCTTCCACCAACTCCTTTCTGTGTAAAAATTCCACGCCTTAATTTTCATATTTTCGTTAAAAAGGGCTGAATATTGTATTATATTTTGACCTTATATTCTATAAATCGTGGTGCCCGTTGATGATGATAAAAAGTTTATTCCCCAGGAAAAAAATCCTAGGAAAAAAAAAAGAATAAATTCTTGGCAATTTCAGATTGATATGTTGGAATTGATTTTGATCTGATTTTCCTTTATGTGTAATTTATTAATTTGTGTAAAATCATTTCATTGAAACACTGTTTGAAGATCAGGCCTTTTGCATCCAGCTGAAAGAATGGATGCGAAAGGGAGCGAATCCGAAATAATATCATCTGAGATCCTTGAGGACTCCAAGTCGAAGGGTTTAGCGGCTGCCCATGGGAGCATAAGCAGCAAGGACATGATTTTCCGGGCAGATAAGATCGATCTCAAGAACCTGGATTTGCAGCTTGAGAAACACTTGAGCCGAGTTTGGTCAAGAAACACAGACAACAACGAGAACAAGAACAAGCCGAAAGAGATTTGGGAAATCGACCCCTCCAAGCTCGAAATTCGATACCTTGTGGCTCAGGGGACTTATGGGACGGTGTATAGGGGAACCTATAATTCTCAGGATGTTGCTGGTAAAATTATTTTTCATATTTTCTGCGGTTTTATTTGATTTTGTAGGGTAGTGGATTAGCTAAAATATGTTGGTTTCATGTTGTGCATTTATCCTGTTGTATGGTTTATCCTTATTGNATTTGATGTCTGAAGAAAGATTTAATTTGGTTCTTGATGTCATGTTGTTTGGTTTATGCTATGTATGATTAATGCGTGGAGCCTTATGATTTCAAACAGATGAAATTGCATCTCTTGTCTTGGTTGACCTTAATCAATATGTAGTTTATTCAAAATGTGGTGAAGAGACTTTAGGCTGCTAGGATTGGGTTAGGCAGTACTTCTGTCCTTGGGGTTTCGTGCTCGTATATGATTCAATTTATTGTTTTATTTTTCTGTACTAAACCTATTGCTAGTTATATGCATACATTAAGTGGTTGTTGGTATACATTGTACACTGGATCTGCATCATTAAATTTTATCCTCTCTTTTGTTTTTTTGGCCTAGCTAGTTTTTTTCCTGTTGAGTTTCTGTTGTCCTACATTTTTCTATTTTGTTTTAATTATTTGTTTCAATTTCAATATCGTGTTCTGATAATTTCCGTAATAATTCTGCACGAGTTCAAACCCTGCACAGCCGAAAACGAATATCGCCTGCTTTAACTACTTGTTCAACTCGACAAGCTTTAATCCTGTTCATGCAATACAAAAGCATAATCAGAAACATATGCAACTTTTATCCATTAGTGGTATATGAAATAAAAACAAAATAAAGAAGTCAATCTGAAGTCTGCTGCTTTCCGGAATGTTTCTGTTCAGCCCATAGTGTTTTCACTTTTCAGATAGAAATAGTCACTATTCTCTGAACCGTTATGTCAGTTTTCCCCTGTTTTGTCGTTTTTTTTTTCCTCTGACAAATACTAATATTTCCACATCTCTGTATATTAAAGTGAAACTATTGGATTGGGGAGAAGATGGCATGTCCACAGCTGCCGAGACTGCCGCACTTAGAGCCTCATTTAAGCAGGAAGTTGCTGTCTGGCACAAGCTCGACCACCCGAATGTCACTCGAGTAATTTATCTTTTTAGTCCTTTTAAACATCCCCTGATTGTCATTCTGAACCAGTTAACAATTGTATCCTGCAGAACAAGTGCCTTTATTTTCACCTAGTTCTCTTATTATTTCTCTCATGATCCCATTCCCATGTTAGAGATCTTATTGCACCATTTTTCCTTTGTTGTCGTTATTTTCTTCTCAATTTACAGTTTATTGGTGCTTCGATGGGGACTTCGCAATTTAAAATTCCTTCAAAAAACCCGTCCGAGGGTTTTACAACACTACCCTCGAGGGCGTGTTGTGTCGTCGTGGAATTTGTTACTGGTGGGACCCTCAAGAACTTTTTGTACAAGAACAGGAAGAAGAAGCTCCCTTTGAAAATTGTGGTCCAACTTGCTCGGGATTTATCAAGAGGGTAAAAGTATCATTACCCTTTTTACATGTTTTTGTTTATTCAAACTCTGTCCGAGATTTCTCATGTGTGTAACTATCTTGTACAACTAACTCTATATATATGCAGACTCAGCTATCTGCATTCAAAAAAGATTGTGCATCGTGATGTTAAAGCTGAGAATATGTTGTTGGATAATAATAAAACATTGAAAATTGCTGATTTTGGAGTGGCTCGTGTTGAAGCTCAGAATCCTAGAGACATGACGGGTGAAACGGGAACTCTTGGCTATATGGCACCCGAGGTAATCTTGCCTGACTTGGTTAAAAGTAGCATAAACAAAAACTAGTTGAGAATTCAAAGTTGGTAGTGTTAGCAAGTGAAAATTGGGTGTTCGGTAATAAGCCGTACAAGGATTTTATTTGTGTGAAAAGCAAACCAGAAGGGTAATCGGATATATAAAACAACTCTCCTCATACTTTTAGATTATGATTGTAATACTTCTTAATCTTAGGCACAAAATCCCCTCTTTAACTTTCCACTTTTTTCTCCTCCCTTTTAGGTACTAGTATAGTGCACATGTGATGCACGTGTTGGCGAATGTTTTTGGCCCGATTAAGTTTAGTACCATAAATTTATTATTTTATTAAACATATTTTTGTAGGAACAAAATAAAATACAGAACAAACGAGCTCCTAACGTTTTTTATTTCAAAATTAATATAATGTTGTCCAATGAAATAACATATTACAACCCCCAACAAAAAAATATAAACAATGAGTCTGTAATGAAAAAATAAACCAATAAATAAATAGAGACCTAATGTATATTATAAATACATTATTTTTTTTATTTATTTATGTTAGATGATTCAAGAGTAATTTTCTTTATTTTAGTTTTGAGGTTCTCAAAATATTAATACTCGTTGGAACCCAATGCAGCAATAGTATTGCAAAATTCTTATGAATTCATTTGGCAAAACGTACTTTATTCAAACACTTAGAATTATTCTGGCCGGACATATACTCTAATTTTCTTTATAAGGTATTTCTACTAACAGTCCAATATCTCTGTGAAATAACCTATTGTGTGAGTAAAATTGCTGATAGTTTTTTTAATCATTGTATAAACTAGTACATTACTCTCTTTTCATATATCTACAAATTGTTACCTACCCGATGGAGGCATCGGCCTATGGGGTGAGAACGGATTACATCTCCAAATAAAGTTGACTTTCCAAAATCTTGGTTACATGTGTTTCTTACGCTTAATTATTTTTTTAAATCATAAAAATTAGATCACATTTATATGTACTGCGTCATTTTATTGTACGTATTTTATACAGTGATAATGTTATCAAAATGTTTTATTTATCAGTCTACTTGTAATAAAATAACGTAAGATAAAATACTATTTAATATTATTATTTATTTATAATTATAATAATATAATTGATAAAATATATTATACTGATCATAAGATTAAAAACTTTAGGATTTTTTTTTTCAATTATGATAAAATATTAATTATCTAACTCATTTTCATATTTATAAATAATATATATTACAACCATTACGGTGATCCCTTTCAAGCAATAATTGAATAATAGTTTAACATACAACTCATTTATTTTTCCTTTATAATTCACATATTTAATGTTGGTAATAGTTGTACATTTATATTCATTTTATACTTTTTTTAGTATGAATATTTCAAATCTATGTAATAAAATTATACCTTATTTTATACTTAATAAAATTGATTTAACATGGATTTATAATTTATTTTATAAGATACTTCTAGTTCCATATGATGTGGTTCAAATGAGAACCACATCATATATATCAATTTTTAATTGTGGTTCAAATGAGAACCAAGTCTTACTGTGAGAACCGTGAGAACCACTATTTTAATTGTAAGTAGTGCTATTATTGATTGTGTTTTTGTGCTATTTTTAACCATGGTGTACTTTATTAAAAATAACAATACAATTTATATTAATATTTGTGAAAATGATAGCACCATGTAACAGTTAAAATAGCATCATATACTTTTAAAATAGCATCAAATACAGTTCTCACGGTTCTTACACCAGAACTTGTTTTTATTTGAATCAACCCCCAAATAAATATATATATATATATTATTTTTACTTTATTTATAATACATTGGTCAAACTAAACATCATTGAAACAGAAATAATGTGATATATTACGTATAAAAAACGTAACAAATAAAAAAAATATCAAGTATTTTAAAATTGAAAAAATTAATGGTAGGAAGTAATTATATCTTTTACTAAAAAAATTAATACTGATATACCAATTTTTAATGCAAAAAAAAAATACTATTTTTATATACTTAAAATGTCTAGTTAAATAAATGTGCATCTTAAGTATGTTTTATATTTCTCATAACTCAGCTCCATTTTATATAAGAAACTAATTAATTTTATTGTTTTTTTGACTTTTTAATTGAATTCGAATTATAAGCTTTCTCATTTCTCATTATGTATAGTCTTATCTTTTTATTACGAAAAATATCATTCTTGCCCCTTGTTTAGTTATTAACAACAACATACCCAGTATATTCCCAACAGGTTGGGGTCTGGGGAGTCAATTGTACGCAGACCTTACCTTTGTAATTATACAAGGAGGCTGTTTCCGTAGCGACCCAAGGTGCATTGCGCCGTTTGATATATATATATATATATTTTATTTTTTTTTTCTAGAAACTTCACTAATAGAAGAAGCACTAGAATTTAATTGAACCATTTTGATCTAGTCCATTATTAGCACTATGCCAGGAGAATTGTCAAATGACTCTTCAGCACCATTTGCAATGGACAGACTTGTTTAGTTATTAAATAGTAATAAAATAATTAAAGAATTTTCAACCTAGATTTATCTTTTTTGTTTTGAAAAAATTCTAATTATCGTAAGTGAAATGATAATTACATCGAATATGTTATATTTTGTATCATTATTAATAATTTTTTTATAATAATTCGTGCACACGATATTATATCTAATGAAAAAATTTTATTGATTTGGAGCCCTATGTTTACTACAACAAAATGAATGGAAATTTCACTGCAATGGAATTTCAACGACAAATTCTAATGAATATCGCAATGTTATTACTCCCATTTGAATTTTCAATGAAAATTTTAACAAAAATATTTCGTTGGAATCATGGGCAGATCCATGTTTATTTAATAGGTCCGACACAGACCCTCATTCCAAAACATATAGCATAAGGTATCTAACAGAAATTGTGGGAAATTTTTTATAATTTTAACCATGCCCCTATTTAGAAAATAATATTGAAAGAAAGAAAGATACATAATGAACTAATTTACAACTCAACCAGTTATAAATTAGTTCAACTCATAACTTTATTAAGGGTATAACATAAATGCAGTATCACAACTAAAAGGAAATATGATAAATTTTAAAATTTACAATTTTATCCTCTATTCTATTTTTATAATCTTGTTGATTGCTCCTAAAATCTCTTTTCAACATTTTTTTTTCTCTAACTTCAAAATATATTTTTTTATGTCTTTTTTAACTAATTTATATGGAATTATAGTTATACATTCATAATTTATAAGTTCATCAATTATATTGTTGAGTCAACTATACTACAACAATACATTTTTTGTTCATAGAAAATTATTATTTTCGATGGTTTCTTATGTTGAATTGAGAAAAAATTAGTTATTTTCGATTATTGAATATATTCTCCATATCAGTAGTTAAATAAGTTGTTCCACTTTTCTGATGATTTGTTAGATTATGTATATATTTCTCATGTAAATAATTTCAGTGAAATTTTAGTTATCTTCTTAATTAAAGTTAAGTATATAACTTTGAAATTATTTATTATATATAAGTTATCCCTCAACTAAATCGTCATTTTTACAATATTTATCTATAGGTAAATAAGGATTCTGCTCCCCTACTCACGGTGGGTAGGGAATTAATATGTCCACTGCTTATGTGGCATGTAGGGCATAAGCAGTGGGAGAGAATTAATATGCCCAATGTGTACATGCCACATAAGCGGTGGGCATATTAATTTCATGTCCACCGTGGGTAGGGAGCAAATCCGAGGTAAATAAATAGTTTAAAATGTTTGGATACTTTATAAGTATTTATTATGCTATTTTTGTTTGATCAGTTTTTTTAAAAAGAAATTTTATATATTGGAATTATAAATATGATTTTGATTCTACCATTAAAATTATATAAATTAAGGATACAATAAAAACCATAAATGAACGTGAAGAAACTATAATTGTGTATGTTAATTAAGAATGAAGAAAATGATGTATTTGTACAAAAAAAAAGGAGAGGTGGTGAAATATCCTACCTGAGAGGGGGTGAAATACCATATTGTTTGTGTTGGCTTTTATCCTAGACATATCAACTAATTGACCTAACTAATGTAAGTGTGGTAACTAATCTGTTTGTTGGTTTATTAATTAACATATAATGATATATTTTAGTTAATTATTGAAAGAAAGAGTTCAAATATTTTAAGTGTTAATAATTAAAATATTACTTGATATTAACCACCTAACGGTCAGGGAAAAATTCATTATATATATATTGGCTTGAGGACCAAAATTGAAAAAAACAAACAAACAAATAATTAAATGACGATGTTTGTGGGATGAAAATTCAATCTAATAAGACTAAGGTGCAATTTTTAATTCTCATTCTAAATACAAGAATTTATTTTTCTTAAATAATTATGTACTTAAATGAATTGTTCTACTTTTCTAATTTGTCAGATTATCTATATATTTCACTGTGAATGATTTCGGTAAACATTTTTATTATCTTCTCTTAATTAAAGTTAAGTATGTACCTTTGAAATTATTTATTATATACAAGTTAGCCCTCCACTAAGTTGTTTTTTTATCTAGATTTATTGTTTTGTTAAAATTGTAGATAGGTAAATAAATAATTGAAAATATTTAGATTCTTTAAAAGTAGTTATGATGTTGTTTTTGTATGATCAATTTTCTTTAAAGAACTTTTATATATTAGAATTATTAAATATGATTACGATTTTACCATTAAAATTGTATTAGAAATAAGGATAATAGTACAAAACAACAATTGTATATGCTTTTAAAGCTTTATTGTTTGGGTTGATGTTGGTTTGATTTTTGGAAGATATGGAAGAAAAAGTTTGTGAGATATGTGGAAGAAAGCAAATTTGTGTGAGTAATAATGGTGCAAGAATATTATGGTTGATTTTTAAGAGATGTGGAAGGTTTTCTTCGTGTATTTGTATTTAATTAATTAAATATTAGTTAGTAATTGAAAATATAAGATAGGATGAGTATTAGGTATTATTAATTTGCCATAAAAAATATGTCAAAGTAAGGATTTTAGATAGTTCATTTTTTTGCAGAACAATTCGTCCTTTATAATAGTATAGATAGAGGATTTTAGATAGTTCATTTTTTTGCAGAACAATTCGTCCTTTATAATAGTATAGATAGATATAGATTGCAAACATTGTTATGGCATGCTATGATAATATTGATATATGTATGATTCTCCTCGTGAATTTAGTGATGTTAATGTGGGTGTGATATTGTTATCAGGTACTGGACGGAAAACCATATAACAGAAAATGTGATGTGTACAGCTTTGGAATATGCTTATGGGAAATATACTGTTGTGATCTTCCATACACAGACCTTAGCTTTGCGGAAATCTCCTCTGCTGTTGTTAGACAAGTACACAAACTCTATCCTAAATTATACATTTTGATTCTCCACTTAAATTAAATTCATGGTTGGTGAATACATATTATTTTATTTGTTTTGAAAATTCTCCTATAAGAAATGTTTTGTTACAGAATCTGCGGCCTGAAATACCTCGGTGTTGCCCGAGTTCTCTGGGAAACGTGATGAAAAAGTGCTGGGATGGAAACCCTGAGAAAAGGCCAGACATGGATGAGGTTGTGAGATGGTTGGAAGCTATAGACACAAGCAAAGGAGGAGGCATGATACCTGAGGACCAGGCTGCCGGCTGTTTTTGCTTTGCTCCAACTCGCGGTCCTTGAACTCTTCTTTTCTTTGTCTACAATTGTATTTTCTTATTTTTATGTTTTGCCTGGGATAAAATAATTTTAATTTAGTTGTTGATCAATTGATAAGGAGTGAGTGAGTTCTGTTGTTGTTATTATTATTATTATTATTATTATTATTATTATTATTATTATTATTATTATTATTATTATTATTTTGTGTTTGCTTTAATGGATTAGGCAAGTTAAGTTGGTTTTAGGCAAGATAAGTTGTCATGCATTTGCCTGCCCACTGAGGTAAGTTTCAACTTGTGATTCGATTTGGTGTATAGTATCATGATACTCAATCCTCCTAGGTTAGGTGGTGGTGTGATACAATTTGTCCAGAATTAATTTGCACTAGTATTAAAATGTCTCCTTTCATTTGTCCCTGAATTCTCGAGACGAATCGCCTGAGAAGTCGACACCCACTGCGGATGCCTTTCGATCTCTTCCATCTGGCCATCATCATCATAGAATTTTCACCAATTCACACAAGTAGAGATTCCACAAGGAATAAGACCTAGATCTCTTCCATCTGGCCATCATCATCATAGAATTTTCACCAATTCACACAAGTAGAGATTCCACAAGGAATAAGACCTAGATACAGATATCTTCAAAACTTGTGTGTAGTTTGGTTACCATTAAAATGAAACTAGAAAAAAGAAATGAGTGAGAAGAAGTTATTCAAGGACCGGGCAGTTGAGTGAAACAGTAAAATGAGAGTAACTAAAATACGGAAAAATTGCAATCGTGGTCTTGTTATTTTGACACGGTAGCGATTTTAGTAATGACATCCTTATTTATTTTTTTATTTATTTTTGTGTTTTAATCTTATGATTTAAACTAGTACGTGGTTCGTGTGATGCACAGGAAAATAATATTACGATTGTTTCCTAAGTTAAATATATAAATGACATTAATTGTAATTCACCTATCGTTTTCAAAACAGGACCGATTTATCGACCAGTCCGATTTACTTAGATAAAATATTTGTTTGTGAACCGGTCAAAACCAACTATTGTGTCGTAAGTTAAATATATAAATTACATTAATTATAATTCACCTATTGTTTCCAAAACAGGGCCGGACCGAACAGTTCGACCGAATTGACGGAGAACCGATTTATCGACCAGTCCGATTTACTAAAATAAATTGTTTGCTTGCGAACGGGTCAAAACCAACGATTGTGTCATAAGTTTAATATATAAATAACATTAATTATAATTCACCTATTGTTTCCAAAACATGACCGGACCGAACAGTTCGACCGTATAGAACGTGAACCAGTTTATCGACCAGTCTAGTTTACTTAAATAAAATGTTTGCTTGCTAACCAGTCAAAACCATCCGGTCGAACTGGTAAGAATAATACGATTTTTTAAATATATTGTTATATATTTTTATCATCGAATTTAAACGTGTGGCTATTATTTTTGCATCAAAATTTTATTTATGTGATACGATTTATTCTCCCAAAATTCTAGATATTTATGTTAATAATGATATTCGTCATAAGTTGTCGATAAGGTATGTTTCCAAAAAATATTAAAGAAAAAATGCAGGTACATCCTATACAATTTTTAATTTTGAATCGAGACGTTCTTTCTAAAAAATAATGATACCTATTAATAAGATCGTATAAATTTTAATATAATATGCACATTATCCTTGCATCAAATTTTAATTTCTGTAATGTGGAGTTATTATCACGAAATTCAAGACAAATTATCTTGATAACGTAATCGACTCAAATTAACCTATATGTTGATAAGGTTTGCTTACAAACAATTTTAAAGATACCAATTTTGTGCAACTTCTATATTTTCTTAAAACTTTAACAGAGATACGTTCATATTGAACAAAGGGGGAGAAAAAAATTGCACAGATCTTTGTAAAATTAGAGCACGAATCTTTTTGAATAGCTGCAAAATTCGTAAAATATAGAATGTATTTAATTCCATATTAATAAAACAAAATACAAAAATATTTTTAAAATAATTTATACACCATTTTCAGATGGGTTTGAAAAAAAAAATCATGGATATTCGTATATTTGGAGCACGAATCTTTTTAAAGTTGATGTACACATCAAAAATATGTAAAATATGATGAGATCTTTTTAAAATTGATCTAAATATTAAAAGGTGGAACACATTTTATCCATATTAACTAAAATAAAATACAAAAATTATATGGTAGATTCCTTTACAAACGATATTCTTAAATACCAGTAGTATTTTTCAACAAAACTCTTAATAATGAATGATCCGAAATTCCAACCTAAATTTCTTAGCACACGTGAAAACTGCAAGTGTTTAAAATTTTGCACTGGATTGTGTTGCATATCTACACAAATCTACAGACCATAAATTATTACATATTTCCAAAATCGCTTTATCAAACACGTGAGAAAAGAAATGCATGCAAAATTTAAAAATTGTGACCGAATTTTCATATGGGGTAAGTCAATTTTTTTTAGCTTTCCACAAATGATTTATTTATGAGGAATTTGCACCCCTTACTACAAGCTATGATTTTTATTACATTTATATACCCCTTATATTCTTATTTATAAAATTACCTAAACAAACTAAAAATATTTTAATTATACCTAATGTAACCGTATTACTTTTTCATGGCATATTAAATGCTAATGAGATCCTTAATTGAAATTAAACTGCCCACATCTCTTCTCTCTCTCTGCAGATCTACCATATCTTCCTTCCCCCTCTTCGCCATCGATCCCCCTTCAGATCCGTCTTCCCATCTCCGTCATCTCCAGATCCCTCCTCTCCTTCCCAACTCCAAATGAAAATGTAAAAACTCATAAAATTCAAAACTAAAAACTCACTAATCCCAATCAAAGAAAAAAATTTAATCGACCTTGATGAAGGCCTTAATGCGCGATTTCTTCGCCCCCTTCTTGTCGGAGTCCTTGCGGATGACCTTCGCCGGGTACTTGGCGACGCCGGCGACGAGGCAATGGCCGTAGAGGCGGTCGCGGGTGCCGTCGTCGAAGTTCTTGAGGACGGTGGCCTTGTGGCCGGTGTAGCGACCCTGGAGGAGTATCATCGCCTTGTTTCGCCTTGATGAATTTCACCATTTTTCTTTTCTCTTTGGTGGAGTTTAATGGTTGATTAGGAATTTTTGCAATACAGAAATGAAAGGGCCTGGCCACCTGGGTAGTAGCTAAATGATTGTGATAGTGCAAAGAGTATACTAATGGGCTTTACTTGTTTTATTTTCAGTATATCTACGGTATATACACAATCTATGTTCATGGTAGCATATGTTATATGTTGCAGGCAGGCTGTATATGTGGTTATATGTTCAGTATATTAGAAGATTTTTTTGTAAATTGTTCAGTTTATGTTATGTGTAAATAGAGTATATGTTCAGTATATTAGAAGATTTGTTTGTATAAGGAATATAAGTAATATATTATAATATGTTTATAAATTATATATATACATTTATGAAGAAAATTTTAAAAAAAAGACATAATTTTTTATGGAATACATATTTTTCATTGTAACATATACTAAATATATACTAACATATACTCAACTGGACAGCTGCGTGAGTTGTTTATTTTCCTGTTAACACATCGCGGAAATCACGCCCAGAAATCACGCCCAAGATATGGAATGGATGATGTTTACTGGGTAATTGATTTTTAGGCATTAACGTAATTATTTTTTATCAATTAGGTAGATACTAAATTATTTGTTATTCAATAGTAAATTCAAAATTTCTTTAATTTCGTGTCGTATATATAAAAATTTCCCTTTATTTATCAATCACTTTCAATATATAAAGATTTTGCTGCAATTTTCGTCTTCTTGACGTCAAAAAATCGTTTGTGCCGTTGGAAGTGACATGTTCCCATTTGCGGCTAATTTTGTGACATGGCAATCGACATGAAAAATAAAATATAAATAAAATTGTAAAACGTGACATAGAAATCCATGGGAAAAAATAATATATATATAAACTTGAAAACTAACAAAATATTGGATAAAATAAAAAGGATGGTTTGGATTGTATTAAATTTATTTTTTTATACACAAAACCAGGCCAAAAAAAAATAATAATAATAATAATCCCCTTCTTGCCAGGGAGATGCATTCGAAGTGATTTTGACCAGGCCAAAAGAAATGCATGCAAAATTTAAAGAATAATGCACAATTGTTGTAATATAGGAAGGTGCATGCGCACCGCGTGTGATTATTATAATATATATGAATGACTATTTGTCCCTGATGTAATTGTATGATTACGATTGTACCATCAGAAGTTTTCCTATAAATAATCAGAAGTTTTCCTATAAATAGGGGCTTCAGTTATAATGAAAAATAGTCCGAAAAGAATACAGTTTCTCTATTCTCTATAGTCTGAATTCTCTCTAGTTTTAACACGTTATCAGCACGAGCGCTCTACATGGTCAGAAAGGTAAGAATATAACAATATATATATGTATATGTATTACATAAAATTAATATATGATACTATTTACATATTACCATTATTCTTGACAAGTTAGGCTCTGCCACAGTCAAGGATATGTGGTATGAATATGCTAAATATGACATTATTTACCATTATTCTTGACAAGTTAGGCTCTGCCACAGTCAAGGATATGTGGGAAGAATATACTAAATATGATATTATTTACAGATTACCATTATTATTGGTAAGTTAGGCTATGCCACAGTCAATAATATGTGGTAAGATGATATTATTAAATTTGCTTATGAATTACTAATTATGAATAATAACTTTAAGTTTTATATAAATAACATTATTACTTATACTTAACACCCACAAATTGGTTTATCCAGTAATGTGGCGTGAGATTTATAACTGCTTATTCTTGTACCCACTGAAAGCTTTATCGAGTAGTGTGTAGTGACATTTTTTTTGTTTCATTACTTATATTCATTAAATTATTTATATAATGGTTCGGAAAATTTTTAAGGTAATATACATGATTAATTAGAATTTTATAATCATGAGTTGATTAACTAACAAATATTATATCATTAATTTGTTTCCAACGGCTAATTAACGGCTATATTGCAACGGTTATTTTATCAATCTATAAATATAACACTACATTGGAT